CTAACAGTGATTTTCTTGGGGAATGAGAATTGAATTATGGGTGAATATTATTATCTTATTGTCTTTATATATTTCTATATTTTTAGAATCATGTATTTATAGATTTAGATTAAAAAAAGAAACAATTTTGAGAAACAAATCAGAGGTCCAAAAGATCTTTTTTTGAAAGATAGTATTTACCTTCACTTCTCACTGTATACATTCTCTATCTAATAAGGTAATCTCGTATATTTGAAAAGCGTCAAATGTCATCATATACAGATGACTCTAACACCTATGTCCCGACTACACACCACTCTACTGTGCTTCAAAACTGTACAGTACAGTACTTCCATCTGGCTACTAGACAATTCCGTGTGATGGCTCACAAGAACAATAGCCTCTGCCTGTTATCTTACCTTTTAACCCACACTCCAAGTTTTCTTTCCTCTTGCATCTCTACTCTTTGTAAACAGCACCATCAACCCCAAACTCCTACTTTAGGTAAGTAGGTGAACCAGACTAGAAATCAAATATGAAAGCCGATCAATTCTACCTTCTCAATAGATATGAAAACCATGCTTCTGTGTCTCTCTTCCCACTTTCTCACTAGTCTCACTTGGACTCCTTCAACAATTTCCTAAATGTTCTCTCTACTTCCAGCTTCAGTCATGTGATTATATATCTCCTTCATTAACACCACAGTCTTCTAAAATGTAAGTCTGATCAAGTCATTTCCCTAATTAAAATCCTTCAACGGCTCCCCATCACCACATAATAAAATAAAAACTCTTTAGCATGGGATTTGATGAATTCTTATTCTATGGCCAACTTGTCAACTTCCTGCTCACCCCTTAGTTCAAACATCTCCTTTGAAGCTTCCCTTTACCTCCCAGAAATAGTTGGATGCATCCTCCTCTGAGTTCCTGGGGCATGTCATCCATATCTCCATCACAGCATGGATTACACTGCTGTAATTATTTCTATGTCTGTCTTTCCATATAGACCTGGATTACACAGGGACAAGGAAAGGATTCTATTCATTTTTGTATCTCTAAAAACCTAGCATACAGTTGATGGATAATTAACTGCTAATTGCTTAAATGAATGATTTGGCTCACAAACAAAAAGTACATGATGGATTAACAAATTATGGATCTTTTTTCCCACACATCTGAACCAATGCTCTAGAATCAATATATGCAAGATGGCAAATTTACCCAATAAATTTGTCAATAAATTATTGAAACAAACAGTAAATTCAACATTATGAAGCATGGTACCTGCTTCAGGTTCAAATAACTGTCTCGCAGTGATATTTAAAGTATGCACATTTTAAACTTAATTATTAGAACGTTCCCCCAACCTCTTAGTTCCTCTTAGGTATACACTTGAAAGTTACCTTTCATAGCCACTGATTTCAAATATAGGCAAAAATTATCTTAGTTTCCTAAAAATAGAACGAAAATTCAAATACTCTTTTTACTAGCAATATCAACAACTTCAGCATACTGGAATCAGTCCAAACTAAAGAAAAATAAAATAACCTTTTTACTCCATGGAAAATTTCTTTTACATTAATTGTAAGCATAGGCAATAGGTAATGCTGGGGAATTTTAGCTTATTAATCAGAATCATCATTAAGATCTAACTCATAAGAGCTTATATGAAGGAATAAAAATGGATCCTGGCAGAGTAGACTAGTAAAAATTTATGAAACTCTGAAAAACAGATCTCTTCCTTACTTAGCCATTCAAAATTCCTCACAAGTGAGTCACCATCCTCCAAGAAAGGCAAAGTTCCACCTGAAATAAACCTGAATGTGAAAAGCTTGCACATCTAAAGGAATCAACTTCAGTTTTTTTCTGGGCTAAAGGGAGAAATCATTGGTGAAGCCAATGGCAAACAACAAATAATCAAGAAATAATTCTTGCTTCACTTTGGGATACATTATACACTTTATGCAGTGGTAACAGATTTAATTTTATTTGACAAACTAACATCAGAATTAGTTTGTACTCCCTGTACACAGACCAACTGGGCCAGGTTAACACAGTAAAAACATTTATGGGAGTAAAAACATCCCATAAATGTGCAATTCTTGAAAGGCATCTGAAACTCAAAATAAAATTAGAAAGTGATTTGACACGTAATAAACACAGGGTAAAGGTTGAATAGGCACAATAAAGTCCGTAACTATAGCTACAGAATACATGAATTGAAAGTAGAGAGCTGGAAGTAGAGTTTTCTGGAATGAGGGCACTGGCTGAATCTGCACGCTTTATTGAGTTGCTGTACTGTGGTCCCTATGAAGATGCCAACATATGATATACAAATGTATATGTGTACATGTGCAAGTGTAGCTTCACTCACACACTCATGCACACATCCCATATTTGGCGGTTACTCTTGCAGTCTCTGAAAATCCAAGGAAGTCATGACATACACCTTCAACTAACAATAAAATTGTTTGTTCTTCCCCATTGGCTGCAATGAGGTTTATGATGCCATGTATAAGGTCAAAGGATTGCTACAAACCCTTAATTGCTTGCTGATTTTTATACTGTTTCCTCAATGATTTCCTTGAGGGCTCTTTGTGGCCTTTTTTAAAAACACATTTTTACTGAAGTACAACCATCATACATAAGAATATACACATCTTTAGTATATATAACCACTGCCTGTGCCAAGATTTGTTCCCTGCACCCCCAGATACCCTCCTTTAGTCTCCTCCTAATTACTGTCCCCTCTGTCTTCTCCAAAAATAACCATGATCCTGACTTCTTACAGCATAGATTAGTGTTGCTTGTTTTTGAATTCTATATAAATGGAAGCATAGAGTCGGTATTGTTTTGTGTCTGGCTTCTTTTGCTCAATATTATGATTGTGAGACTAATTCATGCTGATGTATGTAGCTGTAATTCACTCAATTTTGTTGTCATCTAGCATTCTATTGTATGAATACAATTTATTTTTCCATCCCACAGTTGACGGACACCTTTGTTTTTTCCCAGGTTTCGACTCCTACTCCTATTGCATTTTAACATCTAACATAATAATTTCCCCCTTTATTTCTACACTGCAGTAGCTGCAGGTCTAGTATTACTTCTTGCATGCCTAATATCATTCATTCACTTAAAATCTTTGGCAACTATTACAGATCAAAATAGGTCTGCAGAACCCAAAACAAATTGAGAGAAAGAGGTCACAACAGAGTAAACAATACATGTCGTGAAACATACTCATCTCTGGAACGCACAGCGCAGAGCTCTTTGGATGAGGCTGTCTGAGGCGCTAACTCATGGATCCATGCTATGATAGTCTGTAGGGCTAGCTTTCATTGGCTGAGAGTATATTCATTCTTATTCCCTTGTTCTCCTTTTACTCTCATATTTAAGGAAGGTATTTCAGAATGACAGCATTATAATGACGGTACCGAATTTTGCAGCTTTAAACAAAATGTATCTTAGTTGCCATCAATCAGAATGTGCATGCAGATGCTATTCTTGGATGATTTTTTTTTTCTTTTTGAAATGGTGTAGACCACACAGCAGCTACACTATGGTCAGTGAGACCACCCTGCCTGGGAACACAAAGACTTCTATTGTATGAAGGAGAGACATGGACAATTTCAGCAAAAAGCATAGGAGCCTTCATCCTCTTCATGTCTGCTGCTCCAGATTCCAGCACTTCACATCTCCTCAGATATCTCATCCTTTGTAGAAGACTCTCTGTCCTCTCAAATGTCTTTCTCTGTCGACTGCCTCCTTCCCATCATTACTTATTCACACTCAACTCTCTTGACTTAAAAAGTAGCAGAAAAACAAAAACCTATAGCTATGGTCTTCTCTCCTTTCCTTTAAAACACACTTCTTGAAAGCAGTATCACCACTCAGTCTCTAGTTCTTCACCCCTACTGACTGTTTAACCCACTACAAACTATTTTCCACCTCTAACCCTCCACTGAGACCACCTTAATGAAAGTCATCAATGCCCTCTTGGATGCTGTACTTAATGGACACCTCATCTTTCTCTTCCTTGGCCTTTCTCAAGTGTGCAACTTTGCTGACCCCTCTCTTCTCAACTTCTGTGATATCATACTTTCCTGTTGTCTTCCAACCTCCATGGACACTCCTCTTCAGACTCCTCTTAGGATCCTTATTATTCTGACTGTCCCTTAAATATAGATCTCTTTGAAGGTTCAATCCTTGGCCCTTTTCTTACATTTTATGCTCATTTTTGATCATCTAAATTTCAGAGTCATGTTCTATGAGCACTTCAATCTCAACATGAGAACAAGTACTGGGAAACATCCTCCTTTTTCCAATATTCTTCTCAATATTCTACACATATAGTCATCCCCTCCCCCCAAGTCTATATCACTGCTCTCTATTCCTTTCCATATGTATCAAGCAGGGGTAGCAGAAAGGTCAAGCACTTTGAAGTCCTGTCAGTCTGGCTTCAAATTCAAACTGCTTTTTAATTAGTTATGTGACTTTGACAAAGCCATCTTCTTTCTCTGTAAACACGTTTCACACCTGTATAACACCTATCTTGTGGGGTTGAATAGATAATAAGAGGTTAATGAGTGAAAACCACCTAACGCTGCACCTGATGATGCCTTGTAGCTGTCCCAATAATTAGTTTCCTTCCCATTTTCCATTTTATGGACTCTAATCCTGTCTTCCCAGCTGTAATGAATTTAAGGCAGAGCCAATCCTTTAAGAATCCTTTGGTTGGGCACGGTGGCTCACGCCTGTAATCCCAGCACTTTGGGAGGACGAGGTGGGCAGATCAGGAGGTCAGGAGATCGAGACCATCCTAGCTAACACGGTGAAATCCCGTCTCTACTAAAAATATAACAAATTAGCCAGGTGTGGTGGTGGGAGACTGTAGTCCCAGCTACTCGGGAGGCTGAGGCAGGGGAATGGCGTGAACCCGGGAGGCGGAGCTTGTAGTGAGCCAAAATTGCACTATTGCACTCCAGCCTGGGTGACAGAGTGAGACTCCATCTCAAAAAAAAAAAAAGAAGAATCCTTTAACCCTGTCAGACTGGTCTTCTCACTGTCCCAGAACATGTCACACCATTCACCCCTGCATGGAATGCTCTCCCTTGCCATTCTTACTTCATGCATAGCTAAGTCTTATTCACATTCCAGCATTTAGCCCAATCCCTTAATCGATAAAGGCCTTCCTTAGCCACCAAAGCTCAGACTCTTCAGAAATTTCCTCCACATGTGAACTGTAGAATATTGGTACTAATCATCAGGCATTTATGATATGCTACTTTTGGGGGTTACATATCTTTTCATTCTATTTATCTCCAATTACATCATTATTCTTGGATCTTTTCATTCTATTTATCTCCAATTACATCATTATTCTTGGAATGAATTATATGTAGTCCTCAGTATACACAGTTTCTAGCAAAAAGCTTTAAGTAATACCTGTTGATTGGTAATTTGTTAATTGTTAATTTGCAATAACTGAAGGCATAACATCATTTAATATTTTCAACTATTACTTTAAAATATCCATTTAGACAACTGGAATCTTAGAATATATGACTTTAGAAGCCATGTAGAACAATATTCCAGATGCACAACATCTCTTTACAAGAACCTAATCAGTGAATTTTTAACTCCAGTTTCAGTAAGTTCACATGACCAGAAACTCATTACCTTCTTTGGGAACCATTTGATGTCTAAGTAGCAGTTCCATAATGCAACTATCAATACCAGGAGATTAACACATGATATACTGCTAAGATTTAATTCTTGAACCCCATTCAAAGTCTACCAAATGCCCCAATAAATGTCCCTTATAGCAAAAGGATACAGTTCAACATCATGCTTCACCTTTAGTTGTTATGTCTTGTTATTCTTATTGCTTCTAGAATACTTCCTCAGTCTTTCTTGGAATTTAACATTTTTGAAGGTTACAGGCTACTTAAAGACTGGCCTTCAATTTGAGCTTGCTAGGTGTTTCCTCTGATTAGATTCAGGTTATGCATCTTTAGCAGGAATGTCACAGAGGAAGTAATGCTGTGTTTTTCTCATTGCACCTGATCACATGGTACATGATTCTGATCTGTCCCGTTTCTGATATTGTTCATTTTGATCACTTCATTAAGGTAGCATCTGTCAGGCTTCTCCACTGTAACAATAATCTTTTTTTCTTTGATATTAATTAATTGAACATTTTGTAGGGAGATACTAAGTAAATATCCCATTCCTCATCAAACTTCAAAAGTTATTTATTACTTCATGTTAAGTATGGACTCATGGTTTCCGATTTCACTTTGATGATTAAACTGACCCAGATTTAGCTAGTGGGTACTCACTTAAGCTACTTTCTGAATCTGTTTTACATTTTTCATCATTCTTTGAGGATTTCCTAGATTTCTGATACAAGATCCCCCCGGCTCACCTTGTATTAATATTTACTCTGCCACAACCCTGGAATTATCCATTTCTCCACAGAGCCCTGATTTCTTTTAGTGGAGGATGGTCTAGGTGTAACCATTGCTATTATATTAAGGTATCACTGCTCCCAGGTCCTCACAATGGACAGAGATTGGGAATATATAATGTATGGATATACGTGCGTACACATTCACATTTATATTTACTCCTCTGTCTAGCTGTATATTGAAAACTTCTGATTCCAATCTAGCTACAAAAGGTTGATTGTACTTATCCCCTTTCCATATCTGGAGCTCTCTTTTATGACCATGAGAAACCCGACTCCATTATCCTTAACATATTTACTTATTTGTCAATCTCCCTGTTTATCACTTATCTCCCACTGCTGTCACCAAGACCATGCCAGCATGGATGCTCTTTCTCCATACTCAGGTCCTCATGCATTGGCCCCCTCTTTACTCAACTTGGCTCCAAACTCTAATCTGGGCCCCTGTGGCTCCCCTTCCCCTGGGATGGATGCCTACCATGCTGTGCCCCAACCCAATGGCTTTAGGACCAAATTCTTCAGGAGGAAGAGAAGAGGAGGAAGAAAAGGAGCAGAAAGATAAATCTACATCTCTTCACTTTTACCCACTGGCATGAACTCTGTCTTTTGGGGTCTCCCATAATAAACATAATCAATTCATATGCAAGTATTTGAGGTTGGTGTTCACATCTTGTCTTGTTCCTTCAGTCATTCCTTAAATGACGTATTTTCAAGTAACCTCATCATATTGAGCATTCTTTTCTGAATAAATCCTATTCTGTCTACATAGCTTGTAAAACTGTAGAGGAAGCACTTTTGGTTGCCTATCCACTATCCTATCCTGCCCCTAAAATTCCTTCTTTCCTAAAGAAGCCTGATTTTGTTCAGGTATCCACTCCCTTCCATAGAGCTATATGCTGCAGAAAATGTGAAATCTACCATCAGCGCCTGACTATTCAATCATGATAACCACATTCCTCTTACCAGTGACAGGTTTAATAATGGGCATGTGACCAAATGCTAACTAATGAAACATGTAAGGAAGTCTTCTGGGGGGCTTCCTAAGCAAGGAGCACAACACAAGCACACAGCTCACTCTCCTTCCTCAGGACATTACTGTGCCTGGGTGAGATGCACAGAACTGTTGCAACGACCTTCCACCAGCTGAGGATGAAACCAGCACAACAAGAAGGGCAGGACCAAAGGATCACAGACAAGTGGAGGCAGAGTTCTTAGGGACTGGCCAGAGTCTCTCTTATCATTAGCCTTCTTGTTGTGTGAGATAACATGTTTCTTTTCTGTTTAAGCCAGTTTGGTCCGGTTTTCTTTTTAGCTGCCCCCAACAGCATTCTGACTGATACAGAGTGAAGCCAGCAACCACACAACCCTCCAGGAGAGGTGTGATAAGCTAGGGAACTTCCAAGTCCCTGTATTTCCTCTGACACAGCCCAGGTCAATGGTGACACATAACATAGACTACTAAGACGTCCACCTTTCTCACACCTACAACAATGTTATTTTATATTTGTATTGTTAAAGTGTTGCCCTTCAACAGAGAACTAGAGGTTTACTTATTATTTACATTGTTAGCTTTTTCATTGTTTCAACTTGTTCAGGTCTTTTAAGTGAGAATAATAAAGGAAACTGAAGAGTTGTTACTTGACTGCAAAGCAACAGAGCCAGGAATAGGGCAAAAACAGAATAATAAACACAAAGCTAGGAGACAGGAGACTTTTGCCCCCATAGTAAATGTGCCACTAGACTAGTAAAAAGTCCTGACTTTCTATGTTTCTAACTTCATGCATCTATACAACAGTGAGGAACCTCAAGATTCCCTTCTGGCATTAAAATTCTATGACTCAAGAGACTTCATCAGAGAATTCATGGCTCAGAATTTCTCTCTGGCTTGAAGCATAAAATCAAGAAAAGTAAATCCCCCCCAAATCAGTGGTAGCCCATTAGTCATTATCAAGATTTACTTATTTCAAATAAACAAAACACTGCCCTTGGGCTACTCACTCCAAGAAACAACTCTATTACACTACAGAGATCAAGTCTGGGCTGTATTTGTGTTTACTCTTAGTAGAGGAAATCTGTAGAAAGCAATTGCCAAATCTGCACCCAATTCACGAATGTGACAAAAAATAAACATTCAGCCATCTCCCAGACCAGAGAGATTACAGGAGCTAAATGAAAGAAAGCCCAGATAGTTATAAATGTGCTGTCACCATGACGTAAAGCCCTTCAATTGCTCCCCAACATACTTAAGTTTTGAATCCTGGGATTTTATGTCCCAAGCCCCTTCGGCAAAGTGTGGTCCCTGATGAGTGCTCCATCTTCACCTGCCCCTACTTTGCCTGCCTTACTTGGCCCAAAGACTCCAGCCTCACTGGATGCCTTTCAGTTTCAGAAACTGATTGAGTCTATCTAAAAATATGTCTCGGCCAGATGCCATGGCTCACACCTGTAATTCCAACACTGGGAGGCCAAGGCAGGTGTGGATCACTTGAGCTCATAAGTTTGAGACCAGCCTGGGCAACATCGTGAAACCCCGTCTCTACAAAAAATACAAAAATTAGCTGGGCATGGTGGTACATGCCTGTAGTCCCAGCTACTTGGGAGGCTGAGGTAGGAGACTAGCTTGAGCCCAGGAGGTGGAGGTTGCAGTGAGCTGAGATTGTGCCACTGCACTCCAGCCTGGGCAACAGAGTCAGACCTTGTCTCAATAAATAAATAATCAATAAAAGTATGTCTCTGTCTTCTCTCTCTCTCTTCCCTGAGTGTTCTCCTGCCCCTAACCTCTCCCCCAACACTCACACATTCTGCAGCCTTCTGATCTTGCTTAAAGCTATCTTCCCCATAAAGTGCCCTCCCTGTGACACACCCACGAACTTGGACACGTCACTTCCATTTCCCCTACGGGAACTCTGCTCTTTCTCTTCATAGCACTTATTACTACTTGTAGTTATCCTTTTGTTTGTTTACTGGTTTAGTATGTTCCCCTTGCTGGTTTATCAGCTCCATGAGAACAAGAACCATGTCTGTCTGGGTTGCTCCTGCATATCCAGAAAAGAATAAAGACAACGTGGTTGCCATCATACTTTCAAAGGCATCTTAATGGCATGGAAAAACATTTAAGATACTATGCTGTGTGAAAAAACAGTTTACAAAGCTATATGTTGTATAAGCAGGAAGATTCCAAATTTTTGAATATGTACATTTTTATATGTCTAGAAAAGATTGTACGGGAAATAAATCAAGGTATTAACAAGGAGGGTGGGATTATCTATTTTTGTATGGAGAATCTGAAGACAGAAAATACATACATAGTATGCTAAAAGTGGACAACCATAACCATCAGGTGAAAAAATGGAAAACTCGTTATAAGGATAAAGAATAAAGTGTGATTATCAAATGATTAAATTGATTTAATAATCAAAACAGAACTGAGAACACTGATTATCTGGATAAGTTGTAACACATTTGTTAATATGTCAGTCAGCTCACATTACAGTCATAGCAGTTTTAACAGAACACAACTGTGGAGCCAAAAACGTCAGCCGAGGACAGGGGCTCCGAGCCTGGCTGCATATGAGACTCACCTGGGCACGACGGAGGCTTAATAAATCACCATCTCCAGGAGATGGAGTCCAGGGAATCTGCGTGTTTTAAAAGCTGGGTGATCGTGACACAAGGCTGGATTTGGGAACCCCAGTCTAGGATAAATCAAGAAGTTGGAGAAGAGGTTTCTTTTCAGTAAGCCTTTCAGATAAAATAGGAACCTGAGAGGTAGAGATGCAAACAGTAACAGATTCTGCCAATAGCAGCTGCCTACCACAAGTCAACAAGCAGTCATAAATTGCACACAGTGTGGAAAAATCCACTCATCATGTTTGGTTTGTTCAACCACACAAATAATTCAAATACCAAGGGCAGTAATATGTTTTAGAGTAGCACCTTACCTACTTAGGACTCAGCTTGGCCTACATGCCTTTCCAGCCAAACACAGCAAAGCAATAAAAAATACCTCTCAGCAGGGAAGATAAAAAACAGACGTCTTAAAACTCTTGCCCTACGACTGATACAGCCAAGATAACCCCTCAGTCTTCATTAGAACATATTAACTCCTTTTTTATACACCCTTCTAATGAGCTCCACTGACAGCCAAAACTCAGAGCAGATTACCTTTGTAAATTAAGAGGGGGAAGGGAATTCACGGAGAGGCACACAGAAAGCAACGACAGAAACTGAACCATGTATTTTTAAAAGTTAATTTAGATCAACTTAGTGTGGAACAAAACATTACAAATATGACAATAAATACCAAAGACATGAAAACAACTTTTTATAACTACAGTCATGATGATCTAAGTCATTAAGAAAAAGAATTAAATCACATTCTTTATATTCTGCTTAAGGAAGCAAAAATGAGAAGGCACGAACATCTGAGTGCCCTCTATGTGTAAAGAACAATAAACAACCCAGCTATTATCTCATTTGATGTAATAACCTTGTAGTGTAGGAATCAGTCTCATTTGAAGACGACTGGGCCATTAAAGGCTCAGAGAACTGAGGTAGATTTTTAAAGTTGTACCGCAGAAAGTAGCCATAGCGATGTCTAACTTTGAATAACTGAAATATTTCCTTTGCTCATTATTTTATACCACACTGCCACTTTTAAAGTAATTTTGGTTACAAGCATTTCTTTCTTTTTTTTTTTTTTTTTTTGGTGTTTACAAGGATAAAAGCCTTCTGGAAAAAAAATCATCTAAAACAGTTGTTTGCAAGCTGTTTTTCCAATGTGATAGCATTTTTTCCCAAATGACATATTCCTTGGAACCCCACTATGCAGGAGCAGAGCTGCTCTGTTAAAAGCACCAGAGTGCCAGGGCCTGAAGCCCTACTCCACCTCTACCTGTAATCCAAGACTGCTCCTCAGGCACCTCCATGACCCAGGACACCACAGAATACAGATTTTTTTTAAAAGCACCAATCTAAACAAGCTTAGTCCCTGGATTTGCTGTGTAAAAGCATGTCCCTTAGAAACACTCAACTAATAACACAAAGCTATATAAAGGCATCACAATGTTGTGAAAAGTTTGGTAGTATGGTAAAATGTAGTTAACTGACTAAGGCAAGCAACAACACGAGACTGCTCAAGATTACAGTGCCACTAATATTTCCTGCTTTGTTGTATCATGTCAAGCTTCACATGTCTGAGTTCTACAAATGAGGAAGAAAAAAAAAAAAAAAAAAGGAGAGAAACGTCTACCATTTCACAAAGGCCCAAAATCTATTTTAGTGGTTTTTTCCAAGAGTAACTGTAATTTCATTTTTCCTGTATTACCAAAAACTGAAGTTACTACAGAAAAATCAGATTATATAAACACATAAAATAGAATACATTAAAAAGCATACATAAAATATAGTAAATGCATAGTGCAGCCAAGAATCAAAGATGCAGAAGTACTATGCATTTATTTGTTTATTCCGTGATAGAGGTGAAAATATTTTGTCCTTAAGGCCTCAGAATAAGCCTTGGGAGATAAGACTTTGTCTTGCCCTTAGAACTTTGAGTGTAGAGGTAGGACATAAATATAAACTGACAGGAAAGGTTGAATGCAATAAAAAAAAAAATAGTTGTACTCACTGACATTTAAACTATTCTAGAGATTTTTTGAGTCATTTATAGGTTTTTGTCTTAATCAGAAGGAACATGGGATAAGATAGTAGAATCAGGTTAACTCAACCTCAATATCAAGGACTATTCTTATAATAAACTTAAAATGACCTAAATATCTGTAAAACCCAAAGCTGAAATATGACTAATGATGGGGTTTATCCAAAGCAAATATGTTGTTGGGTTTTTTTTTCCATGGGGTTTGACTTTTTTTTAATTGACTATAAAATTTATCTTGACTTTATATTGGACTCCAAGCAACAGTCTGAGCTAGAACCATTTGGGATCACCCGACGTCGCTACAGATGGTCCTCTATTGTACAAGTTACTCAAAGACGACTTTGTGGTCAGAGGCGAAATTTGTTTGCTTCATTGTTTTAGATGAAGCCATTTTTTTTTTTTTTTTGATAAATTCATTTGCTTCTACTGCATATGTGAACCTTGTGAATATACAGTAAGTGGTAATGGGTTTTTTCCCAAGACTTAACAATATAACTGTGAGAGACATGAGGAGAGGAGGAATAAAAGGAAAGCTGTGTTTGTTCCCCAGTGTGTTTATCCATCTATTCCCGGAGGTTCTTTTAGAACCCTGAACTGGCCTGTGGCTCTTTCTGAAAAATCTATGTTCAAGAGTAAACAATATTTTTATTAAAGCAAAATGGCTTTACTAGAGTTAATGCTTTAAACTCATTAAAGTGAAATCCATTTCTATATTGTGTATCAAGGAGCAGAAATGTAGGAAAATAAAGGCAATCCCATTCTGGGATAACTGTAACTAGTCCCATGTGAGCAGCTGTGCCTGGAATACAAACTGGGATATCTTCAGGAACAAGGCTAGGACAATGAGGAGCCTGGAAGGTGGACAAAATACCAAGAGGAACTAGCAGATGTTCTCGATTCCCTTCTCCATCAACTGCAGTCACTTACTGGAACCCTTCTCTTAAAAAATGATCTGCTTTCCAAAAGCAGACCATTCTATTTCAATAAGAAATGCTGAAAGCCATGATTAGAGTCATAGTCTGGCTCACTAGTGTCTCTTTTTATTTTTATGTTTTTACAGACAAGGTATCACTATATTGCCCAGGCTGGAGTGCAGTGGCTATTCACAGGTGTCATCATAGTGTCAAATCCATGGGCTTGAGCAATCCTCCTGCCTCAGCCTCCCCAGTAGCTGGGACCACAGGTGTGGGTCATTGCACCTGGCTCCTCACTAATGTCCCCTTAACCCAAATGTTAAGGCCACAGTATTCACCACACACACTGAGTGCTGAGTCTTGTAAGTTCTGTAATTGAGCATAAAATAAAAGAAAAAGTAATTCCTCTTCCTCTTCTAGACCCAAAGAT